AGACACCCAAACGTGACCGCTGGCTCTCTCCAACCTGCTGCTTTGCGTTAAAGTACTGGGGAAGTGAGCTTTACTTAGGTGCTTTGCTTCACAATTTCGCAGCCATCTCAACACAGACAGTTACTCTCGGCTGTGACAGGGTGAGCACCATTTCCCCAGGGAGACCATCCCTGAAATCACTGCCCCTCAAGGCTGAAGACACAGGCCACTGGCATGTTCACACGGGCTGCAGCTGCTACCGAGTAAGATGTGAACGATCCTCTCCACTCACCCGAGTACTGGGCAGCGTGGCCTCCCGGTGTGCAGTGCCGAGACAGGAGGACAGGGTCCCCGTGAGAATGTTTAGCCCCAACAAGCAGTCATTTATTTTCAGAGAGAATGTACTCTCGGAAATGTGCTGCCACTGACTTCGTTACGGAAGCAGGAGGATGAGGACGGAAGAAACCAAAACAGCTGCACCGTCCACACGCGCCCATCGTGATGAGCAGCGACGCTCAAGGGACACCGGGGCAAGACAAGGGGCCGACGTCTGCGGCCGGGAAGGGCCAGACTTCTGGTCTTGTGCAGATTCCTGCAAAGAACTACCCCTGACACACCAAATATGCTGCACCCATTTTCAACACAAAACCGTGCCTTTTCCTTCAGACCTGCCCCAAGAAATGCTACGGGTTGGTGAAGCTAATGTTACCCTCACCCACCCGCGGGGCATTTAAACACCGATGGGAATTCCAGCCTTTCTCCAAGGTGCACCGTGTTTACACGGCCCTTTCCGAGAATTTCAGTAAGGATCAAAGTGAGTCCTGCCTCCTGCTGGACAGAAGACACGGGACACAAAAGGAAACAGAGACACCGCCTCTGAGCTTTCGCCTACACCAGCCTTCAGAGGCGTGGTGGGCGCTGCAGAGGCGGATTGACGGCAGGTAACAGCAGGCAGGGAAGCTCGCAGCATCAATCTCTTTTCAAAACCACGAATTACCTTCTTACGCTGTAATTGCTCTGCTCTTAATCGCCTTATTAGTTCCGAGGTTTCATTATTCTTCTTGTCTCACTTCTTTTCAATCCAGTTTGGATTGTTTTTTCCATCTTTCTTGTTTTTAAGGAACAACGAAGCTGTCTGTCTAGATTCCAGGGGCGGGACAGGTAAGACGCAACCTGTCGGCATGTACGGGTGACCTGGGTGCAGGTGGCTCATCCTGGCCTGGGTGAGAACCTGCTGTGACCGTGACTTAGTCAGAGGGACCTGATCCCACTCTTGGGTTGTTCTCTCCTTCGAGCAGGAAGGACTCCATGTGCCCCCCAAATCCTGTCCACGCCCTGCTCCTCGCCCCTCTCCTCTGGCAGAGAACTGGGGACGTCCAGGCTGCAGCTGCTCCAAAGACAGGGCGCTGGTCACTGAGGGAGGTCACGTTGACAGATGCTCAGAAATCACAGAACTCCAGCCCTGAGGAACTGCCTGCTGGTCCCCCAACCCCCGAGAAGAGGCCAAGGCCCCGGCGGCTGGGACTACAGCTTCAAGCATCCTCACGTGTCCATGGGAGTTGCCCTCCCTGCACCACAGCCCTCGGGGGCAGGGCTCCGTGGCCCCAAGGCGCTCTCCTGCTAACTGATGGCTGAGACCTGGGCGTGCCACCCTCCCCATGCTCTGCTCTGCCTCAGAGACGCCAGAGTCTGCTGTGAAAACCGGGAGTAGAAGTTTAAGGGGAGAGGGAAGCACCGAGGGAGAGCTGAGGACGTAAGGGGAAACGATGCTAACGCTGAGAACAGAGCCTCTGGACCTGGCTTCTAACGTCGACCAGACGAGAAAGCGGTCTTCGTTAATAGACATGACCCTGAATTCTGAGCACTTCTGAAAATGCATGAGCCGAGCTCTGATGTCTTCCACGGGCTGCTCTGTGCAGTCAGAAACCGGCCTAAAAAGCGCTGTGTCTAAAACACCCAGAGACGGGACGCTGAGAGAGAGCAGGTGCAGCAGGCGCCTAGAGGCCTGGCGTCTGCGTAGTCATGGAAACGGCCCGGAGCCACGGACACCTGACCACCCCCCGCCCCGTCCCCCGCCCTCCCTGCAGCGGTGGGGCTCTCAGCGCGGGGTCCCGGGGCTTCCCAGACCCCGGGCTGCGGTCACCCCCGGACCAGCCTTCTAGGGGCCCGGCCCAGCGAGGCACCGGCATCTGCATTAAACTTCAACTCTGTTGGGTGTCCTAATTTACTGGCACGCTGGCTGGCTTTGCTTCACGTAACCTGCCAACAGGAGTGGGGAAATAGGACCACGACCCCCCCAGAGCACCTTCTCTCTGCTGAGCCCCTTCCAGTAACCCTCCGCCCCAAGCAGCTGGAGGAGTATCTCCTGATGAGACCTGCAGAAGTCAGGGGGGCTTTTTGTCTTTTGTTTCAGAATATAAACAGCGATCACCTCTGATGTGTCAAGTGAAATGAGACTGAGTCACCACCCTGCAAATTTATGACACAAATTCCCGGCATCACACTGCCTTTCTGAAAAAGGAAGCCTTTCCCTCAGCAGAGGTGAGGAAAAGTGAATTGCATTAACACCCAGCTTCCGACACCAACTTCCTGTCTGATTTTCGATCTTTATTCTGGACCTTCACCAGCTCTCTTTTTTCAGAGGCTGGACAGAACATGTTGTGAGATACAGTCAAACGACGGTCACGTGCGGAGATATTAATGCATCAAATATCCCGAATGTGTCCTATACTTGTACACACACTCCACACACACAGACACTCACACACGAAGCACATTCCAGATTCAAAAGCCACGTCTAAGAAAGGCGCTACGAGACCGGAGGACTCCCAGCCACGCCCACTTAACCTTACACCCCACGCCCAGCACGCAGCTTTGCCCACAGCTTATCGATATTCTTGGCTCAGTGAAAGGATGAGCAAACTGTTGTTGAGCCGAATGATGCTTTTTTCCTAAATCAGACTTTTTAGTCATCAGACGCATTCCGACTGACAAAAGGCGTGAAACTTTCACGCCCGGCTCGGTTGCCATCTGATTTCCCTGATTTATCTGAGCCACAGATCCGTCAGTTGCAGAGGCCTCGCAAATCTCCAGGTACAAGGAAAAGCTGGCCCAATAAAAGTTCGGTGACATCCATCTGCCACAGGGCTGAAACCCGCACGCTGGGTCTCCGGCATCACCTGTCAGAGGCAGCCATGAACAGCTGGCTCTCCCAGTACCGTCAGGATCCACACAAACACCGCAAAAGCATCCGCACATCCTCGCTGTGTCCTGCAAAATACTCCTAACATTTTCTTCATGTATGAAGAACCAAAGACACACTGCTTTTCTGTCATCTGGACCAGGAGACATCAGGCAGTCATCACTTCCTCCACCTCATGTTCTGTGAGCAAAAATAACTTCCAAGAGGTCAGTTGACCTCACCGCCTTCCTGCAACAGATTAACAATCTATGTTTCCACCAAACATGTTAAGGGTGAGACAACTTGAGACTAGGAGGTCTTAAGAAATATTGTTCGTGAAGGAACAGATTCAGGTAGTCACTAAGCAGCTTGAATGTATCCTGGTCCCTAAGCAATCATGTTGCCAGCTTGGCCACCACCGTGAGCCGTGCGGCTAGGAGCCAGCCTCCTGAAGTTAATGGCCGAAGGACCACAGTCACCTGCAAAGGTTCCCTGGAATTAGAGTTCCCTCAAACACCCAGAGAAGCATTATTGAAAGTGGCAGGCCCAGCCCGGGTTGGGTTCCCTGACACCCTGGCCTGGGGCCTCGTTCACCTGCAGGGAGGGTGCTCCTTCCGGACACGCCCCACCCTGGGCAGGTGCCAGTTAAATATCCGTCTCTCCTGAAAAGTCACTGGCTCACCTGTCTGGCAACCCTCTGACCTCTGCGGAACAGGCCAACGCAGGGCCACCTCCCAGCTGAATGTTCTGTTACAGAACCCGGGAGACTGGCTCAGCCGGGAGCACAGCTGGGAATGGACGGCAGCCGGCTGAAGAAGAGGCAGCTTCGCGCTTTCTTTCTTTACTTAACTCTGTATTATGTCACATGATCCCAAGATCCAGGGGCCCTGGGCTTAAAACCTGTGTGGTGAGCACGTGTCCGGGTGGAAGTGACACCGGCGTTCAGCTCGCCGATCCGCCCCTCCCAGCCCCCCAGACCTCGCCACAGAGTTGCCAACTTTACAGCTGTCATGGCTCCGAGTGGTGCAGGCTGAGCGACTCGGGTCGCTGAGCCCTCCTAACTGCCTTAATTGTCAACTTCCTCGGCGCCAGTTGCTGGGTGGAAAAATGTCTGCTTCACTAGGATCCCTTTACGGCAGCTCGGCTTCTGCCTTGGCTCTAGCTCTTTAATGCCAGCGTCCCCTCAGAGAGTGCTTGTCGGTGCCACGCCGCCTCCCACGACACCGTTGTACCCTCCGGGGCACAAGAGCAGAGGAACAGGCAGCCTGACGTGACAACCCTCTCTGCTCCTTCCCGTGTCCCCTGGGGGCGTCACCCTCTCGGCCACACCCCTGCTCCTCTCCCAGACCCACTCTGACGCTTCCCCTCCGTCCCCATCCCCCGGACCTCCGACTTCCTCCCACGCCCACTGCCAGGGCTGCTCTGCCCCCTCCCACAGCCCCCACAACACACCACCGAGCATTTTAAGAAGCTACATCACCTAACCTGCAGCAGGTACAACTATTTATCACTTCCTCTACGCCCAACTGGACATTCTTCATACTTGTCTTAATTGACAATGATACACAATTGCCCCTTTGAACAGGCCACAGCAGAAGACTACGAATCTTACCTTGATTGGTAATTTTCCTTCCCATGTTCTCCATACTCCTTCTGAGGGAAATCATGGGCTATAAAGTGCATGGGACATATCTGCACGCGTTTGTGCTCATGCTTGTTATGTATACACACGAATACACACGTATTTCACCAAAATACCCGCTCCCGGGCTGCTGATTTCAGTCTTCCATTCCCCCCTCCACCCCACTTTCGCCCCAAATGATGAAACATGTATAGTTACTTCTTCTGCAGTGTCTTCTACGGCGGGCTCTGAGTCCAGGTTCAGATCCTCCTCGGTGGTCTGATAACAAAAGATATATATTAAATACCGTTAGCACGACAACATTCTTATAAAGAGCCCCACACAGGCAATCCTTGAGAAGGACTAACTAGATACTCAATATTAGGACCCTAGAACATGGGAAATGCATCAAGTCCCTTTCCACCTGAATTTATTTGAAACTCTGTGATGCGTCATGCCTGAGACAGATCCTTTATAAAACAGGAGGCAAATCAGGCAATGAGTGTTTATATCCACAACTACAAATTACTAGATCAACCGAGCGTGTGTGGCTTATACCACGACTGAAAGGAGAAGCAGGTGATTTATGTAACCCCATGACCAGTAAGGCGAGGGTGGGGGTGTGGATCTCCACGGGCTGAAAGACTGATGCTGTGAGGATGGAAACAGAGAAGTTAGGAGGAAGGCGTCTGCAACCGTTCCCATTTGAATGGAACAAAATCACCATCTTGGGCCAAAGCTCAGAGAATGAGTTACATCAGACAGGTTCCGGTCCCTGCTCATAAAAACCTAGAGCACAGCGTTGTTGAGGCTGGAACACAAGGGCCTGGGTCTGAGGCTCTGCTCACTACTTAATGACCTGCTCAGCCTGGACCTCAGCTTCCCCGTATATAAAATCAGGAACCTAAGGGCATCGAGCCCCCAGAAGCGTGGAGAGAATTCGGTGAGGTAACACCTGCCAGCATCTGGCACCTGCTCTGTCCAGCAGAGACGCCCAGAGGTACCTGCTGTCATGACTGTTTCCAGCTTTGTCTTCCAGCCCAGGAGCCTGAGAGAATTGTCATTATCCAAGCGAGACTGTGACTCAGGGAATCGTGTTTGATCTGCGTTGTTCAGAAATGGGCTTTTCCTTTCTCTAACACGTGATGGCGTCCCAGGAGGAAACATCAGCTTCCTCCTCTGAAAGGACGTGGACAAACTGAGTGGGCTGGCTGACACGCTGCCTCGCTCAGCACTGGCCCCTTCCCTCAGCTTCCCCTGGAGCGTGCCCTTGGCGTTGTAACCCTGCTAAAAGCCCTGCTTTGGAGACGTGCATTTAACTTGCTGTGACACCATTCGCACAACACCACGCGCTTCTTTAGATGCAAGCTTCTTCTGGGATTTTAGGGAGGTCCCAGATTTTAATTGGCACACGTTTCCCTGTCAACACACCCCATTAATGGGTATAATATGCCTTCCAAAGTATCTCAAAACAATTCAGAAACCATGCTTTCCCTAGACAGTCAAATGAATTTCCCCTGGTCTGTGGGCTGAAGCAAAGACACATTTTTTAAGGATATATAGAATTCTCTAGTCCAGTGAACCTCAAATCCAACTCAGGACAGTTCCCTTGCTGCCGATGAGAAAAGTCGGAGTGGAAGCAACTCATAAATGCAGGAGAAACCTAGAATCTGCGATTGCTGATTGCCAGCCGCTAGAAAAGGAATAATCAGTCACTTTAAACGTATGTAAGAGCAGATAATCCAACCACTAATATCACGTAGCAGATTTTCTCATAAAAAAAGCACACCTGATTTTTAACGCAAGGATCTTGCAACATTTAACTTGGGGTCAGAGGTCAAATGTATCCCATCTAGTTTTGCCCAGTTTCTTTTTTAAACAGGTTTTTAAAATTTTTTAATGTTTTATTTATTTTGTTTGTAGGGTTTTTTGTTTTGGGGATTTTTGGGGGGGATAATTAGGTTTGTTTATTTATTTTAATGAAGGTACGGGGGATTGAACCCAGGACCTCGTGCTTGCCACTGGCTATTTACCCTCTCCTCCAAAATTTTTGGGGGGGAAATTAGTTTTTTAATTTATTTACCTATTTTTTTAAATGGAAGTTCTGGGGACTGAACCCACAAGCTCGTGCGTGCTAAGCAGGCACTCTACCACACAACTATACCCTCCACCCCAATTTCTTGATGTGTGAGTTATTTTAATCTCGTACAACATAAAACATGGGCGAAACTAGAAAAGAAAACCAGCCTCTGTGTTCCAAAATAGGTAGATCTCCCATCCGTGTGGATTTGAAAGTTCCCTTAGAACTTGAAAGATCACAGGGTTACTATTTCAGGTTTAACCTTTCTGTAGAAAGAGCTCTAACTTCTCAGTTCCAAATAAATAGGGACTTAATGCTCTGTCTGAACCTATGTACTCCACGGGGTATAACATTCTAAAACATTCACCCAGGAAGCCTGAAGAAAATTTCTCTTGCTTCAGGGCCATTTAATGTATTTTTTAAATTTGATGTTGCATATGCATCGACCTCAAAAACTTTTACAATTTGCCTTCTCGGTGGGGTGGCAAGCCAGTGCAGCCTCTCAGCCAAGTCTGCATCAGACTCTTCCAGTTTGCAAGTTCTTTCTAGAATCAAGATGTATTTTTTAAATAATATGAGTATATTTGTTGCTGATCTATTTTCAACCAATCTAAGAAATATTTAAAACACAGCGGCTCCTCAGAGCCCGGGTCAGTGGCCGTGATGTGAGGTCCAAGAGTCCCAGGAACGTGTTCAGAGCATCCTTCATCCCTCCCTCTGGTCATTCCTCCTAAGCCCAGGGCCAAATCTTCCCTTGACAGTAGGGCTGCCTTCATGGGGCCCCGTGCAGATGCCCAAGCACAGTGCAGGTAACCAGGAGGGGTTCGGAAAGCAGCAGGAAATAAGAACAGGACCTCTGGCTAATCATTCATTCAAGTCATTACTTCAATTTTTAAAAATCCACATCCTTCTCAAAAGGAAAAAAAAGAAAAACTTGACTCGGCAACCCTGGTAAGCGAGCGGTTCTTTCTAAGGCACTGTCGTCACTGCCAAGAACGACACTCTGTAGAAACAAAAAATCAAAAGCAGTGGAAAGACATGGGGTCACTCCCTTCAGCTGGGTGCTTCTCTCTGGCAGTGTGTCTGCGTCGTTCCGTGTGAAAATTAAGCTTAATTTCTATGCTGTGCTCGACAACCTCATTGACCAATATATATTCCAAGCATTACTGAGTCACTTGGGCTTCCAAAAAAAAGGATTAAATATAAAATAGTAAGTAAATTTTCTTCTAAAACAGACTCTCACATTCAGCTTAAAATTACATCCTGTGAATGTCTCAATACATAGTATGTATCTATAAAAATAAATGGTGCTTAAAATGGTAAGAATTGAACTTACAGATCTGATGCTGGGTACAGGAGATAAGGCAAAAGTTAAAGGTTGGATTTTGTTACGCTTTAGTATTTATCAAAATTGGACACTTATAAACGCCACCTCAGTCACTATAAACACAGCCCAGGTGTATCTCATAATTCAATCGGTTTAATAACATTGGGGAACTTTCTCTTCTAGGAAAATACATGTTGAACATCTGTAAATCGAGTTAAGCAAATTAAATTTCAAGAAAGAGAGTTCTGTGTCCCTAGGGGACCATTCAGTTAAGTAATGTCAGAGGTGTCTCCCACTCCAGCCAGCCCCGAGGGTGGGCCACTGACACTCTCATTTCGTTATCTTTCCCCTTTATCTTCAACCAGTCCTCTGTATTGGACCACGCAGCCCATTTAGACTGCATTATCTTTATGCCTTCTGTTTCTTAAAGAAGAATCCATCATTTGCTGTGCCTTCCGGGTTCATCATTCACGGTAGCAACTGGAGGTCTCATTTAAGCCACTTGTTGAACGAAAATCAGACTGACGCAGATTAGCTTGGAAATGTGTGACTACTTCAAGGCACACACATACTTTAAGAAGCCTCCTGAAGTTTGGCTGAAGAGCAACCATTTTTTTCCTCAGCTCATTCATTTGCACTCAAATATTTACACCACACACAGCCGTGTGTGGGTGTACACACACGTATGTAATGTTGACGTGTGCGTATAAACACAGCCTATCCATCTCTGCTCATCAAACAGCCAAGACCCTGTCACACAGCAGTCCCTCGATAGATACGAATTCGCTGTAGTAAACAAACAGCCCTTCTGCCGCAGAGTTGGGACGCTGTGGAAAAGTGCATTCTTTTCTCCTCCGTACTCACCTCTGTTTCCATGGGCTCCACCTCTATCTTCTTCCATAGCTCCAGCAACTGTGCAATCGGCATTTTGGAAAACTTTCCTTTCCCTCTGATCAAGTACAGACAAGAAGAAGGAAAATAATCAGAGGCACCAAACAGCACGGAGACGGCCAGACAGGATGTCAGCGCCCGAGGCAGAGGCGGGCGTCGCTGGGAGGCAGGGGGTGGTGAGGGTGAAATCAGGCTGAGACGACCGCAGGCGCCGGCACGGTCCCCAGGGGTGCGGAGGGCGCGGGGGTCTGCAATATGGCTGCTCGGTGTCCTCTCCCCGCCAGCCCCGTCTCGGCGGCTGCTTCCCGCTCCCTCGCTCGCTCGCGGGGAAGAGGGAGGAGGAGACAGAACTGCAGCTTCGGGTCTGCGCTGCGACTCTGGCGGAGCGAACGCACGGCTCTCGGCATCAGATTGGATTCCCGGCCTCGCCCCCTCCCCCCTCCAAGGCCACGCCCTCCCCGCTCCCCCCACTATTTTACCTTAATTGGCTCTAAATGATGGGTGAAAGTTGGGTCTGAGGATGCTGCTGCCATAGAAACCGCATAGCAACCGAGGGCTGGGAGGAGGGAGCAGGGGAGGGGGCGCGCGGCGGGGTCTGCCCCTCTCGCTCCCAGCGCGCTGCGCGGGCACCGCTGCCGGCTCCCTTCGCTCCTCGGAACCCCACTCGACCACCTTCAGCCTCGGGGGGCTGGGCCAGGGCTCGCGGCGGGAGGCCAGGTGCAGGGGGCTGCTCTGCATCAATATTTCAGGGGCGCGCCGCATCCCGGAGTTGCTGCGCTGGGGCAGCTGGAGCAGCGGCCTCTCCGTCCCCCCACCCGCCCCCCCAGCATCTGGACGACGACGCCCTCGGAGAAGCGGAAAGGGAGACCAGGAGCGCCGGCCCGGCGCCCGCGGCCTCTCCCCAGGCTCGTCCGGCTCCAGCCGAAGCCTCTGTCTGCAGGCTGGACCCTGGCCTCGGCGCACCCGGAATGTGGCCGCCGCGCTGTTTCTGGGAGAGGGGATGACAAGGAGGTGCGCTGCTTAAACTCCCAACCGGCAGGATCTGCGGAAGTCAGGGCAGGGATTTCGGTCAGAGAAACACTAGTTCAGACTGTATCGACCGTCTGTCAAGTTCCAGGAAGGATGCCGCGAGCACCTCGCACAGTTTCTCTTGCTTCTCTGTCTCCTGTGGACCTTACAGTCCCACTTCGCAGAGGAGATAACCGGCGAGGAGGAACTGGCCCAAAGACACCCCCACACCCCGCCCCGCCCCAGGGCAGAGACCGAAGCGAGGTCCTGGCTGCCTCCAGCGGGGCACCGACCACTTCAGTCTCCTTCCAGGGGCGCAACTTTCTAGGGGGGCGCCTCTCCCTGTTTCTTTCCGTCTTTTTCTTTTTTGGTTTCTTCCGTCTTCTTTCTCACACCATTTCTTCTCAGAATGAAAGACACGTGCATGTGGAAATACATTCATCTCCCCAGATCTCTGAAGCTAGTCTGATTTTTGGTTCCCTCCTTTGGGCAAGTGTTCAAGTTTAATACAATGTAACGTCGCTTCCGAAGCGTGTTCATCTCTATAGCAAGTTTCTTTGTCTTTGGGAAAAATATCTAAGAAAATGGTTTGCTGCATCCAAAAACTATCAATAATCTCTTTATCGTTTTCATCATTATAAACTCACAAAGAAATGCAGTTCATTAGCAAAGAACAAAACAACACAACAAACTAGCTCAAATGCCAGACACTCTGTGTTCCAGAGCAAGACGGGTGAAGTCAGAATTAACAGAACAGGTCCTGGTCTTAATGCTGATTTACGAGAGTCAGTTTTTCTTTCTACAAAATGGGGCCAGTAAGGATCTTAAAAATTAATTCCAGTCAAAATGAAAATAATACCAATATTGTTTGTTTTCAAAGGTGACATTCACTGATTGGCAGAGCAGAGTGAAGAGTCCCAATGTGTTCACCAAAATAAGGTTCTCTGGGGCACAGTGTAAAAGGTCACAGAGTAGAAACAGGTAAAATAAAATGGGTTTGTGTAATAAAGAGAGGGAAATCACTGATGTAAAACCCAGTGCCAAAGAGATGTCAGGATTTTTCCATATTGTGGGGAGAGCACATGCTTAGCACACACAAGGGCCTGGTTTCAACCCCCAGTACCGCCTCCAAAAATAAAATAAATAAGTAAACCTAATTACCTCCCGCCCCCACAAAAAAAAAAGATTTTTCCATCTGAAGACTGAGAACAGGGAGCTCTTGAAGGCAGCAGGGAGAAAAATGAAGTAGGATTCCTTACTGGGCGTTTACTGAAGTTCCACTTTCTGAGATGGGACAGGGGAACATTGGTCTTTTCGTTGGAGGGAGGAAGCAGGAGGGAAAGAATGCTGGGTGAGCCTCTCCTGACTGGCCCAGCTGCCTGCCTCCCTCTGCAGAGAGAGAGGACCGTGCCCAGCTCTGGGGCCATGATGGGCGAGAACCTTACAGATCAGCCGTCTGCAAACACAAAAGAGCTCCTTTAAGGCTTAGAGATCACTGAAAATGTGGTTCATCATTTATCATGATGCCTCTTTTTAAACTATGGACATGTGACACTAATAAGGAAACTGGACTCTATTCCACCTTTGGTGGTGAGGCAGGAGAGCCTGAAGGCACGCAGCGAGCAGGTCAGAAGGGCGAGGCAGATTTCAGCCCAGGAGGCCAGCAATCACACTCGCACGCCGCCTTCACTCTGCACAGCTGCACTCGAAACACCTAAGACTGTTACTTAAAAGCAGACAGCCACCTCAGTGCACTCCCTCCATCACTTCCCCGGGGGCCACCTGGCCAGACCTGGTACCCAGCACGGTGGATGGAGAGGAAGGAGGGACAGGTCACCTAGGAAACAAAAAATAAAATAAAATTTAAAAGACAACTTTCCAAAACACATGTGGCCCAGGAGGAGATCAGCCCCATTTGCAAAGCTCGCGTTGGGGAGCGTGAGCAACAGGAGGACCATTTCTCTGAAAGGAAATGATGACGTCCCGATACCTAAAAGGATAAAGGTCCAAATAAAGGACCAAAAAGAAATTGTGCGCGACGGGGCAAGAGTGCCCGACATCCCGAGAACACCTGAACAACTTTTTTTAACAAGAGTAACACCTGAAGAATCTGATTTCCAAGAACCGCCCCCCCACCTCCAAGCACCAGTTTCCAAGAGGCAGCCGAAGCATGCTTGCTGAAATGGGTGTTGAATGAAGCAAACCCTTCACAGTGCACGCAGTGGGAAGGCTCTCAGGAAGCCCAGTCACCATCACGCAGGGATGAGACGTGGGAGCTGGCCGTAAAACTCCGCACTCTCCTGAGCAAACGAAAATCCCAGCGCTGTGCTCACCACCCCTTGAATCTGAAAAGGAGTCTCTTCTCAGAGGAAGATGGGCAGGAGTGGGGGAGAGAGCCCCTCACCCTGCAGATTCCCATAACCAAAGGAACCTTCCAGAACAGAAGTAGGAGTCAGGAAATCTGGTAAGAGGCCCCACTTTTGCCACTGAGACCCAGCTGCTCTGAAGTTCCCCATCTCGTCTGCGTAACAGAGAGAACAATGGTGGCTGGGGTCTGTGCCCCAGATCTCGGGTCAGGAAAACAGTGTGCTTAACTGTGTCCGTGACCTCCGCGAAGAGACCCCGGCTGATTTCGAGTCACCTGCTGCTCAAGAGGACAAAGCAGGCTTGACCTCCATGCTTGGTGACCCAACCGCTTCCCCCGGGGCTGCTCCACCTTCAGGTTGCTGTGACCAAAGGATTTGTGAAGTGACCAGAATTACTCACGTCTAGTGACGTGACCAGCAGCCTTGGTACTTTCACTCCCAGGTTTCACAAAATTCCCCCTAAACCAAACCAGACTCATTCTCATTTTAACAAAAAGGCATGGTGTCCATTGTTACAGGCTGAACGGTATGTTCCCCTGCCCTCTCTGCCCACAAAATTCTCATGATGATGTCCTACCCCCACCACCTCAGGATGGAGCCATATTTGGAAATAGGGTCTTTGTGGTGGTAATTAGTGAACATGAGATCGTAATGGGAAGGGGGGGCCCAGATCCATCAGGACCGGGGTCCTACAGAAGGGGGGATGGGATAGAAAGCCATGGAAACAGCCTAAATGTGCTGACACGTGGCTGGGTAAAGAAGTGTGGTGTATTTACACAATGGAACACTACTCAGCCATAAAAAGAATGAAACAATGCCACTGACAGCAACACAAATGGACCTGAAGATGGTCACTCTAAGTGAAGTAAGTCAGAAAGAGAAAGACAAATACCATATCACTCATATATGGAATATAATGACACAAATGAACTTATTTACAAAACAGAGAGAGACTCATAGACGTAGAAAACAAACTTATGGTCACCATGGGGGAAAGGGATGGAGATGTATAAACTGGGAGTTAGAGGTTTGCAGATACTAACTACTATATGTAAAATAGATAAACAGGTTTCTTCTGTGCAGCACAGAGAACTCTATTCAATATCTTGGAGTAACCTATAATGAAACAGACTATGAAAAGGAATATATGCAGGTATGTGTATGACTGAGACATTGTGCTGCACACCAGAAACTGGCACATTGTAAACTGACTATACTTCAATTTAAAAAAAGGAAAAAAGCGGGGGGAATGGGACACAGACAGGCACGGGAGATCGCCCTGTGAGTCTGGCCTCCGCCCCCACAGGCGAGGGGACAGGCAGAAGGGGCGGGAGGCCTGGCGCCCACCCTCCCGGTACCTGCAGAGGGAGCCCGGCCTGCCCACACCTGGGCCTGACTCCCAGCCTCCAGAACTGGGAGGCGATGAGTTTCCGTCATTTAAGCACCCCCACCCCCATCTGTGCTCCTTTGTTACAGCAGCCAAGCTAACACCCCCCTAGGGGGCCAGGGGAGGATATAAGGGCAAATCAGAAAGCCCCAAAACGCCGCAGTCCCGTAGTAATTAAGACCCAGACGTCCAGAAAATCGGTGAGTCAAGATCCTGGTTCACACCTGCCTTCTTCAGGGACTAGCCAGGGCCCGGGGACAACATTTCGGTTGGCAACAGTTTAGCATCAAAGATGAA